GATCGAGTAGAGCCGAGAACGCGTCCGACATCAGGTACAAGATGAAGATCGAGCATCGAGACTCGTACCGTACGTCGGTCGACATCGAAGTTGACCTGCAGTCGGCGAAGCTGAAACTGGAACAGGAAAAGGTACAACTGATGCTTTCGTCTGTAGAAACCCCATTTACCTATGTAGGATAAAAGTAGCAAAAATTTATCTTCTGATCCTCTTGTTGACGTACCCTAATAATGGAATGTGTACTTGATACTACGCTTTCGATACACTAGCACTGTGTTCTGTGATACACTGCTTTATTATTTAATATTACGGCTATTTTGTTAAAATACTCGGTTTATACTCTTACACCGATGACCATTTTGACCATCTTCAGAATAATTTATGTTATTCCTCCCTTCATCATGCAGGCTTCATAGGCTGGATTCTAGTTCGCTACAGACCCAGAGGCTCATTTTACAACTCGATTCATTTGGCCGTGGTCAGTTCTCTACCCGTTGGCCCTCTTCTTGTAAAGCTTTGCCAAAAGCAGCCTCTGGTTTGCGTGTACCATTGATGATATTACGTGTGTCCGTGATGTTTCAGGAGCAGCTTTCGAAGTTGCGGGATATCAAAGCGAGTTTGCAGCAGTTGAAGAACTCCGGGGTCGACCAACTGCCGCTGAGCACGTGTGTATCAGCCGCTTTGTGCGAACCGGTCCAGCGAATCTTCTGCGGTAGTAATGCTACCGAGAACCTTATAACCGACTGTTTGTCATCGTCTTCATCGTCGATGCCCGACAAGCGTGCCATGACGATAATCGAGAAGAGCGCTCACCGCGTCCGCAGGCTTCTCCAGGCGAAACAGCAAAAGCCGCCAGTAAATGCCTTCAGGTGAGTCGTAAAATTATTATCAATTTTAGCAAATTAATTGTACCAAATTGGCTTTTACGATGCTATGGCACTCGCCGAGTCTAGCTACTAATGATGCCAGTGATAGAATATTTGGCCATACATCTTTTGTCGTACTGAAAAGAGCACTAAACTTGGTTTATTTATACACAGCGCAAACAATATGATCAATCGAACACCAGCACCGATGTCTCGCGAGGTAACTGAACTCGTTATGACTCTGAACGTGCGAACTGCCATGGCGACAAGGCAGACAGACTTCCGAGGTTTGAAGAAGGACCGTGAGACACGGGCCAGTACGTCGGTACTGATCAGTTATCCGATTGAACAAACTGTTTTGCGTTGTTTAGAAATATGCCATGTCTTGTGCTGTTTTCAGAATTCTTAGGACGACATTTAAATAGGCCACTGGTTCATATTTTATGCCCTGCATAGCATTAATGCGTTTTACGACATCAGAAGGACACTGTTCCTTGC